CAAAGTTCGGTAGATAAAGAAAGTATATACAGTATAATATCTATCAGTACAATATAAAAAACTCAGATTTTTATGATGTATTATTATTTTATCCATACCATATTAACTCTTTAATTCTGTTTTTATTTTTCTTATTATCTCTAAAAAAATCAAGTTTAGAAGTTAGTTCATTCACTTCCGAATATTCGACAAAACTAAACACTCCGCTCTTACAGTAAATGAGTTCGATAAATACTTTGTTACAAGGTAACTCAAACAAATATTTCTATTACAATTACGCCCCTAATTTATAAATGCGACACTATAATACACAACTCTTAATACAAGATCTTTAGCACGAGCTTCCTATTAAAAAAGATTATTTATCTTCCATCATGAATTTCAGATTGACCAAACTCTCTAAAATCTATCCATCTTTTGTTTCTTCAATTTGTGATAATAATAAGCAACAAAACAAACAATGAGTTTGAAACTGGGTGATCAATTTCCAAATTTTAAATTAAAAACAACCATTGGTGATATTAATCTACACGAATGGATGGGTGATAAGTAAGCCTTTACTTCCCCTCTCTATATACTAGTCTTTATCTGCAATCTCGCCTTTAGATGGTGCCTATTTTGTTCACACCCTGCTGATTATACACCGGTATGTACCACAGAACTGAGTCGGGCAGCACAGCTCACACCCGAATTCACTAAACGAAATGTTAAAGTTATTGGTTTATCATGCGATTCTGTTGAAAATCATCATGGTTGGATCAAAGTATGACAGATACATTCTATTTGACACAAATACACTCATTTCATTCTTTCAGGATTTACAATCTATGAGCGGTTGTGATAACAAATGTGACTTTCCTTTTCCAATAATTGATGATTCCGATCGTAAATTGGCAAAAGAATTAGGTATGATTGATCCGGATGAATTTGATAACAAAGGTTTACCATTAACCGCCAGAGCAGTAAGTCAACTACAAATATATTCCTTTCATTATCAACATTCATAATTATTAAGGTCTTCGTTATTGGCCCAGACAAAAAACTAAAAGCAAGTCTTTTGTATCCAGCTACAACAGGACGAAATTTCACGTATGATCAGTATCCTCATTATTTACTTAGTATACTAGGAAAATTTTGGTGAAAATTTAGCCCTGACATCCTATACATGAAACACAAAAACTATTAAC